CAACAGGAGGTAGAACACCTGGAGAAGGACTTGAAGAGACCAAATGAAAGCTACTAACAGGAGGTTGAGGTTGGACATGAGGGAGACGCTGGTCTCCTGGTGATGTTCTGACCTTGGGGCTGTTTGCTGCATGTATATTTATATGAACCTACGACTGAGCGTCACTGTGAGGAACCCGTAGAACAGGTGGTAAATGCAGGTCTTTATGTAACACTATATTTTTGATTCCCTTGTTGAAATTAAACTATTTTTTGTGCGTCACAGACCGTCTGCTTCTTTCTTATGTTAAGTTCAGTCAAGTTCTTATTTATTTTAACGCACAGCTATCAGTAACCTGGATGATGACAGGCAAAGTGTCAGGTGTCAGTAACATGAATATTATTGCACATGTCAATAATTTTGGTATTAACACACTAACGTGCCAATAATCTTGAGATTAAGATACAAAAGTATTAAAAATCTGGATATTAATGCATAAAAATATCAACAACATGAATATTAATGCACAATAGTGTCAAAAATCTGAATATTCACACAAAAAAACTGTCAATAATCTGGATATTAACCCTCAAAATAACTAATAACTGAGAAAATAATGCACAGAAGTGTCAATAATTTAGGTAGAAACATACAAAAGTATTGAAAATCTGGATATTAATGCACAAAAATGTCAACAACATGAATATTAACGCAAAAAAGTGCCAATAATTCGGGTATTATTGCACAAAAGTGTCAATAATCTGGATGTTAACGCTTCTAAATATGCGTTTTGGTTCCATCTGAAATGATCAGACCAACAGCAGAGCGTGAACATGATTCAGGTTTTACTCCTCAAAGCAAAACTCGTTATTTACAGTTTGTGAGAACATGGAGGTAAACGTCAGCGTGGTGGTTATCAGCGTTACATTCAGTCTGAAGCAGGAAACACTTCTGCAGCTTCTCCTCACCGTTAAACCGACACGAGGTTCAAACATAACAGACGTGGAACATCGGAACCGTGGCGGGAAAAGTTACTCACATTACTTCAGGAATAAAGTCTAAATATTCCTCTAGAAGGTCTCTGTTCAGGCAAGAAGACGTCCAGTCTGGGGAACGGAGTCCATTTGAAGGTTTAATGCTTAAATAGGAAGAAAACATTTGGAGAATTTCAAGAATAAAGTGGACATTTAGTGGAAAGCATCTTCACGTTAGGAGAATAAAGTCAGAACATCTCGTAGAAAACTTGTAGTGATGTGAGTGACATTCAGAGGTTTCAGTCCGAACGCTTCCCCCCGACCTGTGAAGTCAGTGAAGGCATCATGAGAACAGAACCGGTCCGGGTTCTGTGTGTCAGTGTGTGTTCAGGACGGTCTGCAGGTCTTCAGGCAGCGAGCCGATGATGGAGTTTATAAAAGCGTCCAGCTTGTCCAGAACTCCATCTTTCACCTGCAGCTGCTGCCTGCGAGCTTTGATCTGAAGAGACAGAAGAACACGGAACCCAATTCAGTTTGGAAACGGAAGAAAGCGCAACAGTTTGGTGTCTCCAGAAAGGTCCTGTCAGTGTCTAACTATGGGCGGATCCATGGTTCTGGTCACATTTCACCAACTGTTGAGGCTCCAACATCAGCAGAACCTGATGAGGTGAAGTTGGACCAGACAAGGTTCCGGTTTTTACATGTTTTGACCAGAAACCAGTTTAAATGACCCAAAAATGCCCCCAAAAATATCCTGTTATTGTCCAAAATGACTTGAAGCATGTCTGCAACTGCTAAAAATTCACAAAAATGGGCCAAAATTCTACAAATTCACTGAAAATGAGTCCAAACACGAGTCAAAAATGAGCCAATTAGTCCAAAAATGACATAAAGTTGTCCTAAACAACTTAAAATAGCTAAAACTGACTAAAAAATTAGCCCAAAATTGCTCATTTCGTCTAAAATTACTCAAAATTATCCAAAAATTACACTAAATGTCCTAAATTAGCCCCAAAATGACCCTGATTTAAAAACATTTACAGAAAATGATCCAAAACTGTCCAAAACTGATGTAAAATTGTCCTGAACAACTTAAAATTGTTTAATTTACTAAAAAAAAAGAACAAGAATCAAGAATCAATCAACAAAAATCGAACAAAGATGACTTTATTATGAGAATAATAATAAGAATTTTAGAATTTAGGAGCGGTTTGTAATGAATAAACTGATCAGATTATATTAATACCACTGAGTATTATCAGCCCTCATCACACGTCTTCTCCTCCCAAAACTCACCAGCTTCTCTCTGAGCTTCAGGATTAAATCTACAATCTCCACCTCCGACTTGTCTTTGGTCCAACCCAGCAGGTCCTGCAGAGGAGACACAAAACGACCTCGATGAAAACAGTGTGATGCTGCAGATACTTAATGAACTCAGAGGAAACGTCCTGAACAGCTGGAAGCAACAAACCAAAGCGTCCATCTGATGTTACCGTAATGTCTGGACTATAAGCCGATACTTTCTTCACACGCTTTGAGCGCTGCGGCTTAAACAACGATGCGGCTAATTTATGGATTTTTATGAATTCACCTCGAGACCAAAGTGAGGCTGAGAGCGACGACGACAGAGAGACTGAGGAAGTGATGAAGTGATTCTGAGGCTGAAGAAGACGACTTTAGTGGTTTTAGTGCAGGAGGAAGATGAAGATAGCGATCAGTGACTTTTATGTATCTGTGTATGTTACCGCTACGTATTTAATTAACAGTTAAACATCTTTCTGTGTAAATATCTCAACCTGGACACCTGCAGCCTGTATATGTACACACTTGGTTTCCTGTTTAAAGTTAGTGGGAGGGGCTTATATTCAGGTGCCTCTATAGTCCAGAATTTACGGTAATCTGAGCTGTTAGTCTCTTTCTTCATCGCAGTAAAGTCTGATCCTGTGAACATGTCAGTTTGTAATCGATGTGGAGTTACAGAGAAAACTACGTCTTTTTCTCTGTGTTGGTGTTGAAACGTAGAAAAAATGTTCAAACAACTCAAAGTTCGTCTGCGATGTAACGGAGACGTAAACCTGCTGCTCATTCAGACATGAAGCCTCAGCATCAGGTTACTGAAAGTACAGCAGACAGATCCAGGTGTGTGGGACCCATCCAGGTGTTCCAGAGCTCACCGCCTCACAGACCACCTCCAGGTGGAGACTCTCCAGCTTCTGCGTCATCTCTTTGTGTCGTTGACGATACCAGCCGTCAAAGTTTGGAGACCTGAAGAACTTCCTGAGGAGAGCCAAGACAGACGCTGCTGAAACACTCGGTCAGACAGACGGACGGACGGACAGGCTGTGACACCTGTGTGACTCACCTGTACAGTCCCATCCAATCCCCTTTGAGCATGGAGGTGAGCTGAGGTCCGGTGTGGTCCAGCGTGGACATGAACTCGTCCTGACTGAAGGGACGGATCTGAGGAGGAGTCTGAACCGAGAACGCAACGAAAACATTAAACGTGTGTGACAGACGACATCGCTGTGACATCATCGCAGACGAGCCGCTCGCCGTTTACCTTCCAGGGCGTCACAGACCTCTGCAGCGGCATCAGGCTCGCCATGTACCGCTCCTGACAGACGAGACGCAGGGCTTAGCATCACCGGACAAGTAACAGGAAGTATCAATAATCTGGATACTGACGCACGAAGGCGTCAATAAAATGGATAACAAGGCCCAGACGGATCAATAAGGAGAACTCTTTTTGCCCCTTTTTTGTGACATTTCCAGTTTTCCGATGTAACTCACAGACTTCCTCAGTACACCTGAGCCTGTGTGTGTGTAGCTGCGAGCTGATTGGCTGATGCCTCACCAATGGGATGATGAAGCTCTGTGTGAGCTCCAGCAGGTGTCTCCTCAGGATGGCGCTCTGGACCTCCGACGGTCTCTTCCTCTGGATGCCCTGCAGGTGAGACACACACAGGTGAGACGCACACAGGTGAGACGCACACAGGTGAGTCTCTGAGCTCCACCTGTCGGCTCTGAGGACCTGGACGTCTGCTCACCTTCAGCAGTCGCTTGATGAGGATCTTGTCTTTGTGCAGAAACGTCTTGTAGGCCGTGTAGATGCCTGCACACACAGACACACACCTGTGACACACCTGTGACACACCTGTAACACACCTGTAGCACCTGGACCTGTGGCTACCAACAGCTGCTGTGTCTGACTTACCTGGTTTGGTGTCGAGCGTTTTCAGTTTAGACAGCTTCTTCACCTTCACCTGCTTCGGTAAATCACCTGGAAGTGATCAGACATTTAGAGTCAGGCGCCTGCAGCAGGTCGGAGGGAGAAAAAAAAAACGAAACAGACGAAGGAAATAAAACATGAACACGAAGAACACTGAAGCACGACGTACCTGCCATCCTGATTTCTCCCAGTCGGACGATATGAGGCCAGTTCTGAAACGTTTTGATGAAGAACGGGTTGGTGACGCCCAGAACGACATTCGGCCTGAAGAAGAAGAAGACAGATGGACGGACGGACAGGTGAACACACCTGGAGGATACCTGTCTTCATCTCTGTTACGCTGACTTTTGCAAATAAAGTTTGATTGTCTAAACACAGTTTGATTTTGTGAATAAAGTTTGATTCAGGTGTGTTCAGGTGTGTTCAGGTGTGTGTTCAGGTGTGTGTTCAGGTGTGTACTCACGGGGCCTGCGTCCTGGTGGTGTACTCCCTGAACTCGCTGTCGTGGATGGTGAAATAAGGACGGAAGTCGCAGCAGAACTTCAGCGGACTGATGGAGCTGAGGGCGGACACAGACGCCGTTACCATGGCAACTACACAAACACTGCTCCCTGATTGGCCGCCGGTACACGCGGATCGTTCGGTTACCTGATGAGGGCCAGCACGGTTTCCGAGGAGACGGTGGGAGACGGCGCCATGACGACCACCGGCTCCCCAAGCAGCGTGAGCTCCCAGAGCATCTGCAGGTGGATCAGAACCGACTGGAAACACCTGAGCAGGACACAAGTGAGACTGAGACCCACCTGCAGGACACACCTGACCTCTACAGGTGGTCACATGACTGTCACATGACCACAACACAGGAAACAGCACTGACCTGAAGAGGTCCAGTTCATGGATGGTGGGCAGCACCGTCGGAGCCGGCAGGAGGTTCTGAGGACGGAGAACAAACTTTATTACCAACAGAACCTGACATGAACACAGAACACAGTGACACCGAACGGTTCTCACCTCTCCAGCCGTGTGCCGGACCGGACTTCCTCCGGGTTTGTCTGCTTTTGAAGGAATCCTCACCTGAAGGTCAGACAAAGCTGCTGAATCATGTTTGAGAAACGCTGACAGAACAACGACTCAGAAACAGAACACAAACCAACAGAAACACAGAACACGAGGAACAGCAGCTGGATGGTTCTGGATACTACATTACCCACAAGGCTCTGCTGCTGCAGCCAGGTGAGTGAGCGTTTGCTCAGGGTACTACAAGGTGTAAAACAAAGCTCACTGCAGCAGAAGGTGAAGCTCTGTGATTGGCTTCTCGTGAAATGCACCGCTTCCTGTTCACCTGTAAAGCCACGCCCCCTTTCTCACCTGTAGGACGACGCCCATCACAGGCAGGTTGAGGGTCAGTCCAGGTACGGGCGAAGGCCATTGGTCAATCTCGTTACACACTGCGAAGAGGAGCAGAGTAAAAACACTCGTCACATGATAAAAACTCGTGTTCTGATTGGTCCGTGGCTGTGATGTAGGCGTGACATCATCACCTGCTTCGAGGCAGGGTTCCAGCTTCTCGAAGAACTCAGGTGCGATGATCTGCAGCAGCGAGTGGAACAGGTGAGTGTACGGCAACCTGGACACCAACACCAGGGACTGAAACACACAAACACAGAGTCACAGGGCCGCCATCGTCACATGATGTCATCGTCACGTGATGTCATCGTCACGTGATGTCATCGTCACATGATGTCATCGTCACGTCATGTCATCGTCACATGATGTCATAGTCACATGATGTCATCGTCACATGATGTCATCGTCACATGACCTGCAGGTGAGAGCAGGTGACCCACCTTCTGGAAGTAGCCCCTCTTCACAGAGACGTCCTTCACCTGTCGGAAATATACGTAACCGAAGAAATGCGCCGTTTCTCTCTGAGGAGGCAAAACAAACAAACAGAGCCTTGATCAATAACTGCTGACAGGAGCTACTATTGATCCGCTAAACACTAATCAGCTGATCAGTCCATCACCTGTCTGCTGCACCTATCACAAGTCAAACATGTTGGTCACCTGTCCTGTTTGTTGCTGTCAAATCTGTCTACTGTTCTTACCTGTCCGGTGCTATCTGACCTGCTGTCTCACCTGTCTGCTACTTTCTCACCTGTCTGCTGCTTTCTCACCTGTAGCGTCACCGGAGCGTCTCTGTTGTAGACGTCGTCTCTGAGCTTCGACGCCCTGCGGCCGACCGACTGACGCAGCCGGAAGCTGAACTGCGTGTCCCCGAGGCATCCTGGGAAATCACACACAGATCATGTGACCTCTGACCTTTGACCCCCACAGCAGCAGCATCAGTGTGAGCAGAGTTTACCTGAGTAGGAGTCGGGGAAGGACAGGTAGCAGATGCTGGTTTTCTGGTGACAAATCACAAGGAACGGGATCAATAACATGTGATCAATACTTTAAATAGTAATCAATAACATTAATAGCAGAGCTGATGCTGACAGATGTTTAAATTTACCTCCTTCTCAGTGAGTTTCACATCCTGAGGATAAACCAGCTGAAAACAAACACAGGACAAACACTGTCACCAGAGTCCGTTGACATTTCTGCTGATTCTCGCTGCGGCCTAACGTGTCCCTGAGTGCAGTCTGTCACCAGACCTTCAGGTAAATCGTCCCGACGACCCTCCGACCAGCAGCGCCAAACATGGACAAACAATCTAAATATAAAGTCACAAACGCTGTTTGAATCAAAGCCGAATTTACCAGCAGACTCTCGGCATGTGTTCACCGCAGCGTGTTTTTATTTACAAAGGACCGTTTGTTTGTTTGGGTGACGAAATCAAACAATTGTGTGTTTTTTAAATGGAGTTTGGTACGAATGGAACCCAGCCGGGAACTGCTGTTGTTCTGTCCTTACGAATCAACCGAACCTCCCGCAGTCTCCTCTGATCACCTGATCGATCCCCTCTGATCTATCAACCTATCCATAAGCGATGCTAACCATGCTAAGCTAGCCGTACCTCGATGGCTTGTCCGAGCTCCAGGTCGAAGGTAACGACACACACGCACTCCAGCCAGGAGGAGAAGCGGGCCCACGGGCAGCGGCTGTCCGCGCCGTCCGCCGCCTCCTCCGCCTCGTCGTGTCGCGGAGAACCGGAGCCGTCAAACGGGTTCATCTCGACCGGGTCAGAGCTCCGACAGCTCCGCGGCGCATCCTCCGGTCCTCCATCAGCTGCACCGGCGCAGGCGGAGGAGTCCCGGGGAGCCGCCTGCTGGAGGCCCGGGGAACTGCAGGCACAGAGACTGGTTCTGCTGGTTCTGCTGGGTTCTGGTGGGCTCTACTGGTTTACATAGGTTAATACTGGTTCTACTGGGTTCTGTTGGGCTCTACTGGTTTATATTGGTTACTTCTGGTTCTACTGGGTTCTGTTGGGCTCTACTGGTTTATATTGGTTAATACTGGTTCTGCTGGGTCCTGCTGGTAGGTACTGGTTACTTCTGGTTCTACTGGTTCTGCTGGGTTCTACTGGTTAATATTGGTTCTACTGTTTTCTGTTGGGTTTTACTGGTTCTAATGGTTCTACTATTTTCCGTTGGGCCCTGCTGGTTCTGCTGCTTTTTTTCTATCGAATTTTACTGGTTTCTGTGGAGTTCTAATAATTACTATTGGTTTTATACTGGTTCTGTAGGTTCTACTGGATTCTGTTGGGTTCTGCTGGTTAATATTGGTAAAAACTAGTTCCTTAATGCAAGTTCTACTGGGTTCTGTTAGGCACTGCAGTTTTTCTTGTTCATTCTGTCCTGTTGATTCGACTGGTTCTTCTGGTTCTGGAAGTTCTGTTGGGTTTACTACCCATTTCACTAGTTATACTGGTTCTACTTGTTAATTTTCCACTGACTCTACTGGTTTTAATTTCAACTGGTGCTGCTGGTTCTACTAGTTAACACTGGTTCCACTGGTTTCTGTTGGGTTCTACTAGTTATTACTGGTTGACCACAGGTTCTGTTGGTTTCTGCAGGTTCCACTAGTTAACATGGGGTTTCTACTGGTTCGACTGGTTTGAACTCGGGTTCCACTTGTTCTAGTTTAACTGGTTTCTAACGGTTAATGCTGGTTTGCTCAGTCAGGTGGTTTAGGCAGGTTCTACTGGGTTCATGCTTATTGTAATGGTTCTGCAGGTTCAAGTGGCGAACTTTAGTTATTACTGGTTCTACTGGTTTCTACTGATTCTACTGGCTCACCTGGTTTCTGCTGGGTTCCGACTGGTTTTAGCGGTTCTACCAGTTACACTGCTTCTAGTTTCTTTTGTTTTTCTCCTGGTCCTGCTGCTAGTTAAAAGGTTCTACTGGTTTTAGTTGGGTTCTACTGATTCTACTAGTTAATACTGGTTACTACTGGGTTCCACTGGTTTCAGTGGTTAATACTGGTCTCTACTGGTTCTACTGGTTTCTAATATGTGCAACATGTTGATATCAGAATGAAGACGAGAACATATTTACATTTGTTCTGCGGTTCTTTGATCTGACTACGGAACCCCAGAAGGGACACAAAGGAAGACAATAAACAGGGAGAGGAAAAACAACAGAGGTATCTTCTGCAAGATCTCGCAAAACTGTAGGTAGAAGAAGAAGAAGAACACTATAGGTATGTGTACTTCTGGGTCCTAAACGACGATGGAGAACACCCACTAGAACATGAAGACATTCAGGCAGTGCTCAGCAAGAGGCTTCCACAAAACATCCAATAAGACTGATGTGACTTTTGTGAGATCACACAATAAATACCTCTATTTTCCTTCTTGTTTTTCTTTCTCCACGACCCTTCTGGGGTTCTGTAGCTGACAGACTGTTTTCTCAATAAAGACTGTGTTTGTTCCTGCAGGTGGCAGCAGAGGAACAGCAGAACAGCAGAACAGCAGAACTCAGCAGAACTCAGCAGAACTCAGCAGAACTCAGCAGAACTCAGCAGCAGCAGCATCAGATTAGTGAAACATTCATTTCTATCTGCTGTCGTCTCCTTTCAGAGCTTCATCAGAATGAAAACATTTATCAGGTGCAGCTTCACATGAAACCTCAGGAGGCTGAAATCACAAACATGTTTGTGAATGTTCTGGTTCAGCCAGAAGACGACTCGTGGAGTTTGTGTCAGATCTGCAGGTGTGTGATCAGCATTGATCAGTATTGATCCGTATCGATCGGCTGACTGTGAGCCCGGCTGCTGATTGGATCGTCTCCTGCTGACCGAACACAAAACCTCAAAGTGTCGACACAGGTCCACGGCTCGGCTCAGCCCCGAGTGTCGTCTGGCAGGTCGGCTCTGATTGGAAACGCAGCGATCGGCGGCTGCTGATTGGACGATTGTCTCTGAAGGATCAATCAGACGGACGAGAGGAGGAGCAGCTGCTCGCTGAGGAAGAGGAGGATGAAGACAAACCGCTTTAAACCTGCAGCTGAATGTGACGAAACCAAGATTCAGTCACAGAAGAACAGAATCAGTCCTGCAGCTGGTCAATAAGTATTGATCAGAACAAAGACGCACTGAAAGAGTTTGATTGATCACAGACTTGATCAGTGTGTTTTTACATGTTTACTCTAGATTTCAGGTGAATTCATCAGCAGGATGTTGGTGTTTCTCCTCTGCAGACTGAATCGATTGTAAACCAGACAGACGCTTTATTACCGACCATCAATAAGGAAACAGCTGCTGCATCAGCTCCTTAAACTGTTTTCATATTAAAGCTCCACAAACAGCTGATTGTTTGGGAATTGATCAGTTTATTGTGGCAGCTGATCTAAATTACAGGATAAAACAACACGTTCAGAACCCAACCCCCGGTGAAGCTGGTTCTGGTCGCGTTCCCATTCTATAAATCCGCTCTTTGTTCTCCTCCATCAGCAGATGGAGTAAAAATGGAAAGTCACATGACGCCTTAATGTCCTCACATGTCCTCCTGCCAACAAACAACCAAATAAATACATAAATAAATACGTAAGGACAACAAAGCTGGGCGACGAGGCAGAAACCTCCAGACGGACATCAAAGACGATCGGCTTCGTCTGAGGAAACAATCTGACGAGTCACGAACATGTCGACGGAACACAGAAACTCAGTCGCCTGATGGAAACGCACAAGACTTCAAACTACAGGAAGCACGTTTACCCAGAATCCACCTCAAACTGCAGTAACCCCAGAATCCTGGACTGGTTTAAAGCTCGGTTTGAGGCTGGTTTACAACTAGTTTTAGGTAGACTTTGGACTGGGTTTGGACTGGTTTTTGTTTGATTTTAACCTTGATTTTGGGCTGGTTTTAGACTGGCTTCAAACTCAGTTTAAGGCTGGTTTACAACTAGTTTTAGACTGGGTTTAGGCTTGACTTTGGACTGGTTCTAGGCTGATGTTAGACTGGTTTTTATTTGGTTTTAAACTTGATTTGGAACTGGTTTTAGACTCATTTTGAACAGATTTTGGGCTTGACTTTAGATTGGTTTTGAACTGTTTTTAGACTTGATTCGGGGCTGGTTTGAAACTGGTTTTTGACTGGTTTTGGTTTGGTGGTAACCTTGACTTTGGACTTGACATTGGACTGGTGTTAGACTGGTTTTGGTTTGGTGGTAACCTTGACTTTGGGCTGGTTTAAGACTGGTTTTAAACAGGTTTTAGACTGGTGTTGGACAGACTTTGGATTAGTTTTGCACTGTTTTTAGACTGTTTTTAAACTTGCTTTTGGCTGTTTTAAGACTAACTTTAGACTGGTTTGGTTGGTAGACTGGTTTAAACCCCTCACATTAGCAAAACCAACACTGGGTCTTAATAAAATACTACAAAATAGAATCCTGTGTCACAGAAACACAATCACGTGTGTGTTTGGTATCAAACTGATGAAAGTCTCACATTTATGCCTTTAAACATTATTTAACTGCTGAAATCTCGTTAAATCAACTCAACCGTCCGATCGGAGCTGTTCAGCTTTGACTGACTCCCAGAACACGAACAGAACGAACTCCGTAAGAGATTTAACTCCAGAAACGTCTTTGGTTTGTCAAACAGTGGATCCTTGTTCTTGGGCTCTCGCTGCCTTGTGGTGTATTTAATATGTGTTATGCAGATGAGCCGGTGATGTTCCAGCCGGCGGCCCATTAGAAAACAAATTAAATGTGTGAGTGGGTCTGTGTGTGTCTCATTAGCATGTGTTCACGTCTCCAGTATAATTATAGATTCTATTATTTAAATGAATCCATCGGGTTTTACGGCCGTGCAGCAGGACTTTCATAGAATCTGCGGAAATGTTTGTGGCAGATCGCGAAAACAGTTTTTATTGTGAATTAAATTCTCCGTATGCAGATGTGTGATGAATAATGCATGAAACATACGTTCAGCAGCAGCAGCAGCAGCATGAATGAGGATAAAAGAAGGTTTCTGCTGCTTCCTCTCACAAATGCTAATACGGCACGCTTCATTAACATGTGCAGCGTTCACGCTCGCCTCTCGGGCTCATTATGAGGCTCAGCACACGGAACAATAGCGTGTTCTCCGACAACACGCCGGCCGGAGGTCACTGGATAAGTTTAGAGCGGGAGGACCAGTGATCTCTGTGCAGGAAGCGAACACGTGGGCCGAGTCTCCACAAGAACCGGATCCAGAACCAACAAACACACCAGCTGTCCCGATTTATTGATCACGTATGGATCATGTGGAATCGGCCGACTGCACACAAACGTACATACGTGTAGCGCGGCCTCATAGTTGCTGCTTTTATTTCTAGTTCGTCATTAAAATGAACCTTCCAGCCAATCACAGCCCAGGATGCTCAGTGCTGACCTGTCACATGAAGCACAGAAGAGTTCCAACTAAACACCTTCACTCACTGTGAACACAGCAGACGTCACGAGTCCACATCAAACCACAATAAGTTCTGGATCTCGGGCCGGTTTTACACTTTATCATCTTGGACTGGGTTCGGACCTGATTTGGACTGATTAAAGAATGGTTTTGGACTGGTTTGTTACATGGCTTTGAACTGGATTTAGACTGGAGTCAATATAGACTGGTTTTGGACTGGTTTGGGATATGACTTCGGACTGGATTTTGGACTGGATTTACACCAAATGGACATGAATTTGGGCTTATTTCAGAATGGTTTAGACTAGTTTGGACTGGATTTAGACTGGATGTAGACTGGTTTTAGACTGGAGTTAGACTGGTTTGGATTGGATTTGG